GGCTGCCCAGAGAGGTGGGGGAGTCTCCCCCTCTGGAGCCATCCCAAACCCGCCTGGACGCCGTCCTGTGCCACTGCTGGAGGTGCCCCTGCTCTGGCGGGGGTGGGATGGGGGAGCTCCAGAGGGACCTTCCAGCCCTCACCATTCTACAAAGGCAAAGTGTTGTTCTGTGGAGGGTGCTGTGTGGACGCCCGTGCCATCTGCTTGGGCTGCCCCGTCCCGCCGTGTCGGGGGCCGTTGCTGTGTCCTCACATGCCTGAGGGCGTCCACCTGCGGGCGTCGAGTATTACAGTTGCCACAAAAGCCAGGAGGAAATGAATAAAGTGGTTTTTATCAAGCGCTGCAAGGGTCTGCCCGCCTCTGGGAAGCTCCTGCTGGGGGGGGACAACAGTAGCACCAACTCCAAATGGTGACATATCCCCTCCACCTTCCAAACTTCAGCATCCCACAGAGAGACGTGAACCTATTCCCAACCCATCTTTCTCTGGGAGGAATTACGTAGGGATCCGGCTCCAGGCGGGCAGGAACGCCCGCAGGGAGAGGAGTGAGCACGGGGCCGAGCTGCTGCCGGAGCGGGACAGCCGGTCACCACGGCCAGTGTTTGGTACATCCCATCTTCAGCACGGTGCACACACGGGACACGAGCAAATCTCCGGGCAGCCCTGCCCTCTGCCACCAGCGGCTTCCCCCACGCGCTGCCCACAAAGAGTGGCTTCTGAGCCGGTAAATCTCCATCAGGACTGGGTGTATGTTATGGTTTGAGGAACCCATAACAATTTATTGTCGTTTAGACAATTATTCTCTCATCCGATGATCCCTCCCAACCCAGGAAGGAGAATGAGGAAAAGCAAGGAAACCTAAGGTTTGAAATATAAACAGATTAAATAGAATAAGACTAAATAATTAACATTAATAACACTAAAGAACCAATATTGATCCCAATACCAATATAGAATATGCAAAGATTATCCTCAGCCCATTCCATCCATAGAAGCCGTGCGCTCCCCGCAGTGACAGCCAATGTGGGACACTGTGAGCGCTGCGGCTTCGGGAGGAAGGGACGGGCTCAGGGCTGCGGCACCGGGGCGAGGAGTTCTCAGGATGGCAGCCGTCACGGGAGGGAGCAAACTTCGCAGCGAACTTTCTAATTTATATTGACTGTGCCACCGATGGCATGAACTAACCCTGTTGGCAGCTTGGGTGCAGTGCCCGGGTCTCGCTCCTCCTCATCCCCACACCTCCATGAGCTCGGAAACACTGAGACCTTGAAACCCGCATACCGTCACTGGCTATAAAGCAAATATTTTCCCAAATTCAGACACCAGAGTCTTCTAAAAGTGCGTTTTTCCCAAGCAGTAGAAGAGAAATTAGTCCTGTGTCGCTCAACCCAGAACACTGCATATCCCTCCCGCGCATCCATACGCAAAGGGCTTTGCCACCCTCCAGGACGGCCTCAGGCACGTGGCGCTGCTCTGAGCTCTGACGTGAAATCTCTCTCTCCGCCTCTCACGGAGCAGTACAGCCGCGTGTGCTCTGCTCCTGCCCTCCTATGGGCCTGCCCTGGGGCGCCAGCTCCCCTGTCCCCAAACCCCGCCGGCACCCCAGACCCTGAGCACTTCGCTGCAGAGAAAAGTGCAGAAAGTTGTATTTCTCCTGCTTACGGCTGCCAGAGTGCCCCGAGCGCGGCCAATATTTTGTAAGGACTATCTCAGCAGGAGG